TTTTTAGCAATTTTGTCTTATTTTGCTATTTTATATGATTTTGTATTGTTGCAGGGAGTTAGGCTTCTGCTTTTCAGCAGGTAGAAGAAAATGTCTACTTAACAAGCCTTCCTAATGAATTATATATACTTCTCAGCAAGGGGCTTTATCTCTGCAGTTCCACACACATATTCCCAGTGGGTTTTTGAATTTCTAAAAGAGTTTTTCATTATTACAGTCATAAGGAAATCATGCCAATAATGAATGTAGAGTTCCTGCCTCCAGAGAATGGTAGTACATAGTGGAGATACACAATCAAAGAACAGGCTTATGTAATAAATGATCAAAGCAATTACACTAATAGCAGCTTATTTCCAATTTGTCTTAAATGTGGTGTTTTTCTATATGCTATGTATGGACTATTGCTGCTGGCAGAAAGGTGCTGAATTGTGCTTTAGCGGAACTTTTGTGGATGAGTTCCTCACTAAGTTAAGAACTGTCCAGTGCAAGAATGTTAGTGGATGATCTCTTTACAGCAGAATTAACAGACAATTAACAGCATGTGCAGCATCTCTGATGCTTATTTAGAGTTCCAAGGTTGGACTTCAAGGTTCTTTTACTGCTTTTTAGCATTTACGTTTGGCCACTTACTTATATTATAGAAATAGATATGTCTAAGTTACTGGAATTGAAATTATACAGATATGACCAGTTTTAAGGTAACCTCTAAAATTGAATTTTTTGAAATAGTTTTTTTGTTTTACAGTATGTTTCTGATATTTCTTAATCTGTACAACTATACAGTAGTACAAAGCTGCCTAAAACAAACATTGCTGCTGTGCATGACCATGAAACATTAGAGAACAGGGAAAGGAAGTAATTTCATTTATAATTTCTATTCTGTTAACAGCGGATTTTTGGCATGTTATTTAGCGAGCAGTAACTCTTTGGAGGCTCCAGGCATAGACCAGGTAGTATAGAAATGACATTTAAAAATAAAATCAGGCTTTTTGTTTGTGCACATTTTTTTCCTCCTCTGAATTCAGCTGTTAGCAAATATGTTTGGTTTAGTTAGAAGTAGGTACACTATGAAGTATCAGAACTTCAATTAACATTATATAGACAGAAATTCACACTGAGGATGTGTATCCCAAGATTGACATATAAGTTCATGGTCATGTATTTCTTTGGACTTCTTCAGTGTTCTTTTTAATACAATTTCCCATCTATTGTTGCAGATTATACCATCTGAAGTCGTTATATTTAGAAACTCCACAGTTGATTAGTGAAGTTTGGAGTTTGCTGTACCTTTATAAAGTAACTCCTACTTTTAAAAAGCTAACATGGGTGAAATTATTACAAAATTAACGTTTAAATTAAAAGCATGCATGATTACCCTGGCTTAAAACTGTAGTGTGTAAATTCAGTTTCCTTCCCACTAGGAGAGCTCTAAATAGGACTATCTCAAATTACTTGAGAGACCACCTCACTTCATAGGATGCAACTTCCAGTGTGAGGCTTTAGTGGGGAAGTAAAATTATTGTTTGTAACAGAAGCATGTTTTGCACAGAAGACAGAGCTTTTTGCTAATTCATTACCAATATGAAATCATCAAGATATAGTACAAAAATACAAAGATATTCGAATGAGTGAGTCCCCAACACCACCAAATAGAATAGCATATCAGCTTCTTTGTTGCACAGTTCTAATATTTTGTAGACTCCTTAAAAATATTACATTAAAAAGTTCTTCACAGGTTCAGAAGCCAAGACACCTGAAAACAGCCATTTAAATTCACTTAGTAGAGCTTGGAGATAGAGTACCTAGTTGTTACTTGTCTCAAGTGCGTTCCTCTTGTCTATTGCTCTGTTTATAAACATGATCAGATGTGTCATCTCCACTGAACAGAGGTGTTGATCTGAAACTTTCAGCTGTAGAAAATGAATGTCCTCTCTGCATGTTTTCTAGTGTCATTGGCCTTTGTTTTCAATTGTCTCTCAAATCTCACGGATTTTATGTTTTGTATTAATAGTTTTGAAGAGGATTTATATTTATAGAATTTAATTTTTTGATAATGCTTCAATGAATTGTGGGGTTTTAAAAATTCGGAGTGAGTTTACTTGTATGGCACTATTTGTCACCTTTTAATCTGCCCTGTTAATTAATGTTAAATAAATCCGACAGTCCTCTAAAATCAAAGTAAGTGTGGTTTTGTAGGCATTGAACTGCAGCTTTACGATTTATTTTAAGGTGTTCAGAGGTGCTTCTTACCATGGTAGCTGAGAATTTAATGTAGATTAGTGTAATTAACACGTATGAAGTAAGAAATTGATCACATCTTCTAACTGGGAAACAGAAAAACAGGGATATAAAAACATAGTAGTAGTATAGCACAAATATTTATCGTTAGTATAGTACTCACATTTTATAAAATGTATCAGTATTATATTATACCTGGTTTTCAAATGAGAAAATCTAAGCAAAACAGGGATTCTTGAATCCAGTTCAGTGTTGGGTTTCTTCCCCACGAAGTTACTTTGTTTCTTTTCTCTACCACCAATACTTAGCTTATGACTGTCAGAAGTCATAAAGTTCTGGTAGTCAGAAAAAAATCCGGATAACATAAAGTTCAGCCCACAGCATTACGTACAGACATCGTAGATGCACTGCTCATGTCGCAGCATTTAGAACCTTTGGTTGCTCTACTGATATTCCCAGTTAGGTGTCAAGACAAGGACATTATTTTAATGGCCATATGCTATTTATAGACATTGCTTATTCATCAAGCTGAAGTTTGCTGAATCATCCCTCAGCCTTTCTTACAGGTCTTCCTAAATGCTTTAGTTCCACTTCTGTACTATTTTCCAGACTTCCTTAAATTAAGTAGAGAGCGATCACTATGATGATATTAGGACCCAGTATGCATTTTAGGGTACTTAATACTTCACCTTCCTCTATTGTTGTTTTTTTAAAGTCAAACTGGTAAAATACAGATCAACATTGCACATGTATCTGCAAAGATAAGTAAGCTTTGGAAAGCCACACTGAAATCACTGGGACTCTGCAGGAGCTCCTGAATCTGTTTTTGGATCCTGATACGAGTGAATTCTGAAAGTACATAGAAGTACACATCAGTTAAGGCAGTGCAAGATGCATAGTGTTTTCTTGCAAATATGTGAAGTTTGAAAGCACTCGAAATAGTAAACTGTTATGAAGAATAAGATGATGATTAAATTCGGAGAAACAGTTTGGGAAAACTCTCCAACAGAGAATAGAAAAGTATCTAGTGGAAGCAGTTCAAAAGATGCAATGAGTGTGTCTTGCGGGCAGTCTTCAAATTATTCTGAATTTGCTGGGATATTTGAGTGAAAGAGGGCCTTCTGAAGCAAGCTTGGTGCCCTGGTGCCCTATTTCCAAAAGTGCAGGAGGATTGACATAAAAGTGAAAGATAGATTTTTCTCAGCTTGTCTTCAAAGACATCCCTGTAAGAGCTGTTTCTGACTGGTAGAAAGCGCTCAAAGAAGGGAGGTATTTGCTATGTTTTGTGTGTGTTGTGCGAAGCTAGTTCAGGGAACAGTATAGATAATTTCTTGGCCTGAGTCTTTCACTTACTGATGCTAGCTTGATACCATGCCCTGCATTCCTACAAAAGAAATAGCAAGTCTTGGGGGGGGGGGGAAAAAAAGGCTGAGTTCTCCACTGTGCTGACTTTGAGAACTCCACAAAAACTGACTTTGGACACTGAAGTCTATGATGAGGCTGTGAAACTGTGAAAAAATGTCACAAGGGAATATCTGTTCACTTAAAAAAAAAACAAACCAAAAAAAACCCCAGACTTGGCTGCCTATCATGGAAGTGTCACTGAACTGGCAGGGAGAGAACTGCATGTCTTAACAGTTGCTTCTTCCTCTGATTTCTATTTCTAGTCTAGAAAGTAGACAAAAAGGACTTAAGTGAGCTGAAAGTGCATAACTTAGCTCAATGGGCATAGCAAAACAGAAAATGCATGATACCTAAACTTCTGTGATGAACTTCTGCCTGTTGTTGCAACAAATGTTGACGCATTTTAGTATTTTCTTGCTTTTATAGGTATTTGCATATTTTCCAGTGGTTACAAGACCTTTTGTTTTCTGTAAGATGCTATTATCCTGAGTGTTAATGGGTTTCCAGCTATTAAGATGTAATCATATACCTTAAGTATTTAACTATAAATTTGAAAAATCTTCATGAGCAATCTCAGAGGAATACTTGGAATGCACTCATAGTAAATTGGCTCATTTTCTTGTAATTTACTAGAAGTGCTGATATGAAAGCAGTTGTAATGCGGAAAGTATATTAATCTGTGGAGATGCATTGTAGATATGAAATTATTACTTTAAAACTTTAAGACATATGAGGTAATTTAGGCTTACTCTTGTTACTTAGACTCACAGTAGAAAAATGATCACTATCTTTTGATGTAATGCATTTGAAATAAATGTAGCAACCTTAAAAACAAACAGTGCAGTAATAAATTAAATTAGATGTTGCATACCCATGTATCTTTTCTAAAGGATTATTGTGGGTGAAGAGAGTCAACAGGAGGCCTATAGTAAAGTTTGTATCTTTCAGTTTATAAAAGCTGTCTAGAAATATTTTCACTTGAGATCTTCTCTGAAAAATACAGCCAGTGGTTCTTGACAGCAAATCCTGAAGCAGCTAGCTTGATGCCATTTTGTGGAGATACAATCATTCTTTGGCTGTACTATTTTTGATAAAAGCAACTGGACTTTAAATAACTTTTAGATTTAGTGCATTTCAGAAATGGTTGTGAAACGATTATCTGATTTATTTTGGATTTTGTGGTTTGTTTTTTTTTTAATAGAATGTGAGAAGTGGAGGAACTGCAATTAATTTCAATACTGTGATATTAATCAGAATTATGTTTGGCACTGGAGGCTGAATATCCTTGCTCTTTATGGAGACATCATATGTAAGAACTGTCTAAGGCTTTGTAAAACTGTTGCCCAATAGACTGGAACATGGAGACACAGCTAGACCCCATGAAAGATGACTTGCCCTTAATGGCCAACACTAGCTATATGCTTGTAAAGCACTATATATTGGACTTGGATGTGGATTTTAACAGTAAAGTTATTGACGGCATCATAGTTTTATTCTTTGAGACTGGGAGCCAGTACAGGAAAACCAGCAGTACTGGCAAAGAAGGCTGCCAGTCACAGTTTGATGAAACCTCTAAAATGAGGGTGTCTGAACTCTGCCACATTCCTGTGACAAATGTGACTGCCTGTTCATCTAAAACAGTATATAATGATTTTGCTGTCTGTGGTAAAGGTGAAGAAGATACTTCTGATAAAAATGGTAACCATAGCAACGAGGAACAGGCTTCTGGGATTTCTAGTTCAAAGGACTGCTATGACATAGAGAATCATGGGAACAAGGATTTTCTGCTGGTATTGGACTGCTGTGATTTATCCGTGCTAAAGGTTGAGGAGGTAGATGTTGCTGCTGTGTCAGGCATTGAAAAACTCACAAGGTCTGCCAAGCTAACTGATGCTTCAAAGGAGCTGGAAGATCTCAGGAATCAGATTGTGCATGAACTTGTGACATTACCTGCAGATCGCTGGAAGGAACAGCTATACTATTTTACTCGCTGCAGCCAGGCGCCTGGCTGTGGAGAGCTTCTGTTTACTACTGGCACCTGGAGCTTGGAAATAAGGAAATCAGGAATTCATACTCCAACAGATTTTCCTCATGCAATAAGAATACGGTACAAAACCAAACCGGAGGGAAGATCTGTTACATGGACTACAGACCAGAGTGGCAGGTATGTAACTATTAGCTGAAAGCTTTGCACACATTCATTTTAAACATAGGTGCAAGAATGTAGAATTGTGTAATGCTGAGCAACTGTGAAGATGATGAGCATCCTCTTCCATTGTTTTCATTTCATCCTTGGTTTGAATCCTGTTGCTGTGCTGTAGGAGACCAGACAAACTCTCTGCTCAAGAAACCCCAATGGACAGACCCCTCAGGCCTGTCTAAGTGACTGCATTTGCTCATTCTGAGTGGGAGTAAATAATTGCTGTGTATTGGAATAAGTGTGTGCAGGGAATAGGAAGTTATCACTTAGGGGAAGAGAAGGTATGCATGACAGGTTATTTTCACTTTAGTACTTTGTGTTCTTTTTTCTTCCTGGCTTACACAACTGATCACACAGCATAAAGATCAGTATACATAATATTTAATAGAACTGCTTCACAAGTAGTCTTTTATCAATATTGTAATAAGTTTAGAGATGCAGTCTTTTCCAGTTTAATCTCTCATAATCAACTTCTAAAATCTCCTTCATCTATTATGTAATTGATGATAGCAAATGAACTGCAAACTGAGACTGCAAGAAGAATTGGCATTTTATCTTGTGTTTGTGGAAGTACCCAGTGCTGTACAGAAATCTTCAAGATAATCTCTTTATAGGAGGGAAACTACTATCCACTCTTGACTTCTACAACTGTAATTATTTTACTGTAATGTTCAAAGCTGGATTTTAATGGCTGTTAGTTCTTTATGATACCTAAAAAACAGGAACAAAGTTGGAAGATAAGGAAGAAATTTGGTCTAATTGAATACCTGCTTTTCTTTCTCAAACTGGAGATATATGGTTACCTTTCATTTCAGTTATGCTAATAGAAATTAAGAGTCTTCTCACTGGCATCCACGTTAGGGAGGAAAATGAGGCCTTTTAAGTATACATCTGGTATTTAGATAATTCTACTGCTAAACCATGAGCAGCATCAAGTCCAGGAATGTCTCAGTCATGTTCATTACCTCTTCCCCTTTCCCCTCCCTTCCTCACTCCCCAAGGAGTTATTTTTGGTATGAGTTTAGGAAATTTAACTCAGTATATTATCTTTAGTTATGAAAATCCTGAATTTTGACTGCATGCAAAGCTAGGGCAATTGCCTGTGATCACACGTGTCCATATCTACCTGCCCCTTACTAAAGTCTTTGAGAGTAATGTTAGCAACACTCAGCTGGTATAGGACTCCTCCTCTGTGTGTTGTTTGTGTGTTTTGAGCATTTGAAAGTTTCTTTTAGGCATCTAAATCTCTAATGTCTTTTAGTTTTGACTCTTTTCCCCTTTCACTGCAAAGCATTATTCTTACTTTAGAGACATTTCATGGCAGTTGTACACAAACACATGGAATTTTATGAATCAATAATAAAGCAGGAAAAGATGGTTTGACGTGCATCAGGCAGTCTGATGGTAGCAAATAGTCTCAAGCTGGTTTATTTTCAATCTTTTGTAGGGTATTCCAGAAACTAATGCCTGTCAGAATATAAGTTTTCATATCACAGTCATTAGAATCTTTATTGCTACACTTTTAAAATCAAATTCTGTATGTGATGAACCCATAAATATAGTGGTAAAGCTCATTGTACAAAATGCTGTCATATTTTTCCTTCCCTTTCTAAAAATAAAGCCCATTTATAATGTATGGGGGAAGTACTATTACATTATATTCTCACAGGGGAATTCTTTAAATTGTTCCAATTTATGCATATGGTGCTTTTTTAGGCAGATGTCAAATCCTTTCCAAGAGGAGTCCATAATCTATGGTTCTAATCCCGAAGAAAAGTGAAGCGAGTAACAAAGTACAGGCATTGTGTTGCCACTTCCAATATGTTTCCTCTAATTTAACACTACTGTAATGTTTTGAAATTTAACCTATGCACTATTTTATAAAGACTTCCATTTTATTTGTTTTAAACAATGATGTATTGTAATACACAAAAAAATTAGTTAAAGCAAAGCTTTATGGGATGAGTTTAGGCAAGTTGAGGTATGTGTATGCAAACCTGATGTTTGCACAGCGGGGCACACTTCTGTTTTCAGTAGAGGAACTGAACATACGGAATTTCAGCATTTCCCTGTTTGGGCTTTTGATACTAGCAAATACATTAATCATCAAGAAGGAAGGTTTTGTTTAGTCTTAGAACATGTTTTTTGTAATAATATGCTTTTGGGGGCCTTTATGCGGAAATGCTAAAAAGGGGACAAAATAGAGGAGTAGAGTATGTGTGTGAGTATATATGGATATGCAGATATATATACATATATATATAAATATAAACACTTTTCTGCCTCTCCAGAAGTTATACTCACAAGGACTATATCAGTTCTTAAAATTGGCAGGTAACTTTTAACAGTGATCAATAACATAATTATTACAATAGAAAAAAAAAAGTGTTGGTTATAATGTTTGTAAGTTACAATGTTTGTAATGTTTTTCAATTGTTTACTAGCACAATACAGCACTGGGGTTTCAAATCACGAAGGTAATGTTGCAGTTTTAACAAAATTATGGTTTTGTTTGAAGTATTCTCACTAATACTAAGTATTATAACATTATTTAAAATAAAACCTTATTTTAGACACTATAATAACCACTTTGTGGAGGGAATAATGTGTATAAAACATCTTTCATTACTGGGAAGGAGAAACTTTTTGCCAGCCCATGGATGTGTTTAAGCAGTTTTGCCTAACTCTTAGGAGTATGTTGTATATGACAGTGTTGAGTCTGCATGGCTACCAGCGTATTTCAAATTAAATGCTTTCTCATGATCATTGCTGAGAATCTTTATTCGTTAAAATATCCTGGGATCTCTTCATTGTTTAAGAAAAGGATTAAACACATTTGGGTTAAAATTAAAGAGGTAATTTTCCTAGCAGATAGCCTTGCGAATTCACCTCTAATGGGAGATTCCTCCCACCTTTTTTCTGCCCTACTTATTGCCACTTCTAGTGCTGTCATAAATTAGTTAATGATTTTGTTGATATTAATGAGTGACTGGAATGGAACTCATTTCCTCATTGTGGGATTAGGAATGAAAGAGTATCTTTGGTATGAAAGACATCAATGAATGACATTCCATGACACTGAAACCTTTTAGTACTGGGTCCTAATCTTGTAAGCTACCTGTGCACTGTTTACCTTGGCATACATGAATCGGTCAGGACATGCATTTATTTTTTCAGGTTGAGCCCTAGATATTAGATACACAGAAAGGGGATGGATTGAATTACTCTGAGTGTATGATTTTCGTGAGAATGCTATGGAAAAAGTATATTCTTAGAAACTATTAAAGAATGATTGAGCAGTTTTGGGGAAATGCTCTAGAAGGAATTAACCTTGCGCTAATTTTCCGAAGTGGGAAATACTGGAAAACGTGAAATGATGTCCTTAAAAAAATGATTGTGATATCTTGATATTTATTTGACCAATTTAAATGTCTTTCTTACCTTTTAAAAATATTTTGTACCTGTCTAGTTGATTATCTTTATGCTATCTTGTTATTAAATTAAAATATCAATGTATTTTTAAAGAATTCAGGAAGTATTTTTGCCTTTATGAAAGCTATGAAGGTGAATACAGCAAGCATAAATGTACAATTTGGTAGAAGTGCTAATGCTAGCATATGTTCTGTAATTAAATGCTTCTTTTCAGATGCAGCTGTATCACAGACATCACTGAACTGCATGGTTCCTCATTTGTTATAAATAATCTTGCATTTCTGTAGTGTGCAGCTGAAGTACCTGAGGTAGATAGTGATTAGGAGAATATCCAAAGAGGTGGTACCTAACGTAGCGATAAAACAGACCTTGGTTTCCTATTTAAATAATTTGATGTTACTGATTCTGCTGAAACAGCAAAGGACTAGTAGAAAAGTTCTGCGGAACCTATTGTGATCTGTTTTGTGGACCTGTGTCCAGAGTCCGTGTCAGGCTGGATCTCACTGGCATGGAGACTGGCACAATTTTTGTCTGCAGATAAAAAAAAGAGATTTTATCTTTTTTGAAATTGGTTGTTTCAAGCCTGCCTCTCCTTAAGACACATATGTTTTGAAATGTAAATAATGTTCGAAGAGAGTAGTTGCAATTGTTCAGATGCATTGGTGACAAGAGCTATTATTCATAAGTTTGGGTACTTCTGAAGATAAGCTCTTGAAAAATCATACTCTTCTTTGGCACTGTAGTCAGACTGTGTTATGTAGTATGTTGCATACAGTAAGGACTAAATAAAAACTGTATAAAGGTATGCATAGCAACATCAAAAATTTTCATTTTTTACTATTTTAACATTTAGTTCATAGTTGATATTCCCTTTTGAAATTTTCATAAATGTTCTAAACTTGAGATTTTTTAATAAATATTCAGGGTAGTGAAAACATGCTAAACATGTTTCTTGAATATTTAGCTAAAGCTTGAAGTTGGAAGTGAATTCTTGAGGAGTGATCTCTAGTTTCCAGGAGGTTACACATAGAAGTCCTTACTTAGAACATGTTTGCAGTAGGCCTGCAAAAAAAGAGGGTAGTTGTACTGATTCCTAGGCTGGATCACACAGTTTCTCCAGACTTAAGTCTGAAGTCTTTCTGATTACCCTTGAAGTTCAGCATAATGTTTTGTATTTGTATTTTCTGTCTCCAAAGCATATTAACAGTATAGAGTCAACAGAGCTATTTTGTACTAATGAAAAGAGGAAAGGAGGAAGAACTAAAAAGGAATGTGGAAGAAGCCTACCAAAATACACTTGCTGAAAGAGACACTCTTGACCTCTCTAAATCTGGATGCTGGTTCCCTCCACCACTAGTATGATGGCATAGGTGTGTGAACAGCTGAGTGATGAGGCATATTAGAGAGCTAATCTGATTGAAAATAAGCGGGGGGGAGGAGAATGCCTTATAGGAATTGTTTGGAATATGCTACTGAGGTTAGTTTGGAAAGTAGAGTTATCTGTTTCACGGGTAATACAGGTTTGTGCCAGT